CATCTGGGTAAGGCAGGAAGAGAGGTGACAGCAAGAGAATCAGCAGCTAGATAGATGGTTCTTGAATTGCGATTAGAAAGACAAAATGCCAGAGAAAAGGAAAATGTCAGGGGCAGAAACCACGGCAGACATGAGGGCTTAGAACAATGCACACTGGCAAATTATTTCAGAACTGTGGTGTCTCAGCCAGCTGTATTCCTTGCCAGGAGATCTCGACAGCAGGGTCCAGGGATGTTCAAAGCCACTCTCGCTTCTGACCTCCTCCTGAACTGCACCTGGTGACATGATGACACAGGTGACAACAGAGACATATTGTATGCACCGCCCAACATGCTTCTGCCCAGCTGACAGAGAAGCAAGGCCCCTGACCCCACAGCATTTATCTTCCTTTGGATTTACAAACAGATGCAGATCTAGTAAACACCTGCTTCCCAGCTCAAGCCCTTGGTGGGATTCTGGCTTGGCACCCAGGCCATGAGTCTGGAGGGAGGAAGTATGGCCCTGTGACATTTGTGGGTTTGGGTGTGAGGCGGGTGCTGTGAGGGGGACTGTTGGCAGCAAGGAACCAGCAAGTAGCAAGTAGCCTGCTACTGGGCAGCAAGTAGGTAAGCCTCATGGTGAGAGTTTGGAATCTCCCTACACGGGTCCAGGGGGCACAGGGTGGACCTCAGTGGCTTTCTTCCTTTCTCAACAGTACTTGGCCTCAGCACCAAAGTCTCCTTATTTTTAGAGCCACGTTGCTGGCCGTGTCTGAGACTTTCTGCAGTTTTCCTCTTAGAGGGCTGGATTCAAAAGCCAGCTCCATGGACAGTGATGGTCAGCTTTTGGAGATGAATGGAGTTCTAGAATCAGCTATGCTTCTCACTCTAAGTTGGGCTAACTGAGGTGTGAGATTAAGATGGGGACATGAGATCCATATAAATGGAAACTTTGAAGTCAGTGGAAATGGAGAAGATGCCATTTGGGAACTGATCATGGATGGACAAGTGGGGAAGGGTACCCAATCTATACTTTGTCCTCGTAAGTTTTAGTTAACACCCTTCTCTCACCAGCAGAGTTTGCCAATTAAAGACCAATCTCTCTTGATTCCCTTGCTTTAAAAGGATACTTTGATTCACCTAGGCAGGCGATTAAATCCCCCTCGTTCCCAGAGCTCTGAACAATCTGAGTCCTATCTACTAGCATCCTGAATAGAGCCCTAGCTGGGAACCGAACTCAGGTACTCAACTGAAGTTATCAGAATCCCAGGCTCATCTAGAGAGATCAACCCTGGACCCCAAGCCAATCCCTTCACTGATAGTGGAAAACACTGTTTAGATTTTTGTTTTTGCTGGATGTACAACTAAGAGTAACTGCAGGACATCTCCCTGGAAGATACTGGGTGTTTCAGTCCCTCCCCAACCCCCAATGCCAGGCTCTTTTCCTCTGCCTTCCCTCCCTAGTGTCTCCCTCTCTCTTTTCCCTCCCTTCTATACCATCCTCTCTTCTCATACCCCCTTGAAAGGGCAACTAGATTGCATTGCCTTTACTTTATAGCATTTTTAGTTAACTCACCCTCCTTCCAGTAGCCTGGTATCTGAGGGGCACTAGGCCTTCATCTTAAGGCTCAGGCCACTTCTAAAGGGCAAACCATCCCAAAGCTGCCCCCCACCAAGCTGTTAGGAAAGTGCCCCCCTTGAATCTTTGGTTCTGCAACCTCTGCAAGTCCTTACCTGGCTGAAGTACTCGCTGGGACTTTCTAAGTGATAGGGCCCATTCCCCATTCCTCCGTATCCCCTTCCCCCATCCTAGAATCAACAGAGTTCAGGGTTACTCTTTGATAACCTTATTGCAGAACAAAATTAGGAGTGTGCAGCATATCCACAGTGCCCAATGCACCTACACAGAGCAACCTTGGGTCCTCCAATCAGGTATTTGGGGAGTGGGGAAGGTGAAATAAAATGGCAAAGTCACTCTCTGAGCATTGCACTCTAATGACCTTAACAAGATCCCCATTTATTCCTCAGTTAGGAATTGAAAAGGGAGAGGTATTTGGTGCCCAGTATTGCCAGCCACCAGCAAGTCTCTGAATAGACACTTTGTTATCGTGTGGCCCTTTCCTTCCTGCTCTACCTTAGGCTTGCCAGAAGGGATTGTGCTGCTGAATCGTACACATTGCCATCTGTTTGTATAAAGCAGATGTAATTGCCAGCCAGCCAAAGCAATATAAAAATTTAGTACATACCCTAAAGGATTATAACTTAAAATTCAACAGTTATACTTCAGAAACCTAAATGTGTGAGTTTTCCTCACCTTTGGACAGTTAACCTGGAGTAATTGGTGTTTTTTTTTTATGTTTGTTTTTGTTAAATTCAGAACCTTTCTCTTTCAAGGCTGGTATAATAAAATTAATTTCTTAATTTATCTAGCCTCCTTCCATGGGATAAGAGATATATTTCAAATTAGATCACCTCCACTTTATTCATGAATTGCTATTATCAGCTAACCACAAGCAAAGCACCTTCAAGTCTCATCAGTTTTAAATCCTTTTTCCTAGGATGCCGAAAATCCTAGCACAAACAAAACAAAACACACACACACACAACCCCACCAATCTTGCCTGTGAAATAACTAAAAATAAAAACAAAGCAACATTTTCAACTTACAGATTTTTAAAATTAAAACTAGAAGTAGTTTAACAGTATGGTGTGTTTCACAGCAACAGACAGGAAGCAGGTAAATATATATTTTTTAGTGAATGATGAGGCTTAAGAGGTAGTTCAGTTTGAAGAGTGATTGACCAACACCAGCAAGGCCTGGAGTTCAATCCCCAGGGCTGGAATAAAATAAAAGCAACGTATTATGTTCAGAAAAATAGAGTATTAGCTCCTGATATTAGATAACAATTTTTAATATCAAATAGCCCCAGAGAAACCAAAACATCTAATTTTTTTCTCTTTTCATTTTAAAGTATGGTTTTCAAAGAGGTTGGTTACAAGAATGCATTTGGAATTTTACCATTTTTTGTGCCCATCTATCTGCCTGTTCGATGGTTCTCAACTATTTCTTTCCATGGTGTCTGGAGCGACTCGTATCTCGAGAAATAGAGAGAAGAAAGATTTGGCTGCCTTCATTCTGGTGTTTGGTGTCACCGTTCACAGCCGGCAGACACACTCAGATCTCAGTGTTAATGGCAGTATTATGCACTTTTGATATGAATAAAACTACCCACTTCGACTTTATAAGCCTTTCTCTTAATTGTATGTTTGACCAAAAAGGTCAATGATGCTAACTAATCCGTTCTTGCAAAGATTTTTAGAAATATTTCTTGATACTTTTCTTTCTAGAGCTAAAAAAACCGCATTAAGACAATTGCTGGAGGAAGCACATTTGTTCTTTTTAGATTGTTTAGAAAAGTTCGGTACAACGTTGAAAATATTTCTGGGCAAAACCACAAATGTTATCTGTGGAAGAGGGCTTTACTTTTCTGCCTTCACATTGGGAGTGTGAGGCGGCTTTCCCGAACTTTCCCTGTGCTGGTGCGCAGGGTCTCCATCAACCAGCCCGCCACCTGGGAACCCAGGCAAGACCAAGCTAAGCGTTGAAAACTGACTTAGGGGAAACGTGCTGATGTTTTTAGGATTCCCACAGTAAACTCCCATGACACTGAGACGAGACATTCTGTTTGGTACAGGCGACGAAGAAAAACCCCACAACCTATCAGTGTTTACACGTGTATTCAGCCATGAAATTGAATACTATCAGAGTTGAAAAATGCAAATCAAATTAAAAGCAGAGAAAATTGCCTTTGGAATTATAGTACCCGGGAGCTTCAGAGTGTTTGCTTAAATGGAAACATTTTTTTTAAAAATAACGGAGAGTGTCTAGATTGCCCTCTCACCAGTGTCTCCCCACTTCCATGGACTTCTTTAATCTTACCAGGAAATAACGTCCACGTTGAGGTACAAACCGTCCACCACTATAACAAATCACACTTTGTTTTCTCAGAACATCACTTTTCTTAAATATCAAATTGTCCCCATTTAGCCACGTGTCCCTAAAGTCAGACTGCTTAGCATCCCGGATTCACGTTCGTAGCTCAGCCACTGTGTCCGGGGCCCTAGAAGCAGCTCAGCTTGCAACTCGAGCCGGCCAGGACTCCGAATCTGTGGAGTGGCGAGCCGAGTCGCCAGTGCGGCCCTGGTTGTTTCCGCCTCGCCTACCACTGGCTACGGAGATGCACCAAACCCCTGGGAGCCAGCGGGCACAGGTGGAGCGCTTCTCCTCTGTGCTCTCAAAGCCCACTGGGACACCGCTGGGCCAAAAGAGAAGGGAAATGCCCTGCCAGTGTCGGGGACAAGGGGTAAATAAAAGAGTTAGAGAAGCACGATCGCGGCAGGTGAGAGGAGCAACCCTTGATTATGCAGATCCAAGTTCTAGAATGTAGGGAACCCACCCTCGTCGGACTTGAAAGCTAGCTGGGCAAGACCGGACCTATTCCGTTGCTCCCACAGTGGGCAAAACACTTTTCTTTTCTTCCACCCCTCCCCCACGTCCTTCGGGTCCCTGGGAAAACCAAACTTGGGTCTCTGCTTCAGGTGCCAAAATCAGCAGTTTTCAGAGACAGCCTTGGGGCAAGTGTTAGCCAGACCAAGGAAGCCATGTCCACCTGTGTCCTAAGTGAGGCGTTCTGGAGACCCTCGCAGTGACCACTCGCTGTGCTAACGCGAGGTAGGAAAAACTTTCAAGTTATTTGGTGACATCTGCGGATTTTCGTTTCGCCCTTCCTGTCCACCCACTCCGGGCCCAAGCAGCCTTGGCTCTAGCCCTCGGTCGCAAAGAGCGACTTGACTTTTTCTTCTCTGGGGAGGAAGACAGTTGATGACCTGTGCGTCATTCCTTCCTCCAGACCTGGTGGTCCGAGGAGCAACCCCAGTTACAGAACGATAGCTCCTGTCCAGCCGTGGGCAGCCGTGGAAGCCGGTTTTTACTTGAAACCTGCCGGTCTATTTCTTTTTCAGGAACCACACCGGTGCAGAGCAGTGACACTGCGCCAAGAAGACAGGCCCCGAGGCTCCAGGGCAGATCCCGTAAGTTCCAGTTGGGGAGATTCCGGACCCTTTTCCAAAGAGAGTTGCGCTGATCGCGTGTGTGTTGTTTTCAAAGCCAAGCAAAGGAAACAGCAGCCAATTAAAATGAAATATCTTCAGTTCCCTCCTATGTTGTCAGTGATTTGCCCCCGGGGATCCACAATTTTCCCAAGCCTGTTAACGGGTGACAATGAATGAGTGTCTCCTGTAATTTAATTTTCCTGTCACACTAAATAGAGCTACATTGTAAACCTTAGATCTACTCTTACTGATAGTATCGCCTTGTTTTGTCATTTGCACCATAAAGACCCCCAAAAGGGACGCGGTATTGTGACCGCCACTCTTGAATTATTCAAGAACTTAATGACATTTTCCATTTTAAAAGGGGAACTAATTGCCATTGACGAGAAGCATGTGACCTTCTAGGGTGCCGAGTATGAGAATGTTACCATCTGTACACCCACACGGAGTCACAGAACAGCAAAAATAGGGAAAACTGTAAACAAGGGACTCAAAATTGACTCTGAAATCACCCACATTATTTAATCTCACATAAGCCAAAACATATAGTTCCAAAACTCTCTTTACTTGTCCTAAAATTTATGTCAAATGTGTCATCAATCCTGTCTACTTTGGGAGACCTGAGGTGACTTTTTACTTAGGATAGATGACACAGTTATGATTCTAAAACCAATTTCTTAAATGTGAAATTACTTTGTGTGGTGTCAAGCATAACATTCGGTGTCTGCCTTCACTCTTTGCTGACTTTTCTTCATTTAATTACTTATTTATTGGAAAGGGAAAGGAACTCAAATTATGAAGACAGTTCATCTTAATATTTGTTGTTTGAAGGTATCTTGAGTCCTCTGCAAAGCCAGAGCTGCAACTCTTCATTTGTATGGCTAGCTTAAATTATTGAGATGTGTGTTTGTCTCTTTTTCAAAGAATAGAGAAGACAGCTACTGCGTTTCCTATAGTGTTTTTTCCCCCTTTTCCCTAGTTTCCAGGAAAGCAGAGGTATACCTTCCACCAGAATTCTGTGATTTCATAAATACACATACTATCTACAGAGGTCCTTGTGTTCCTGAGCTGATCCACAGCCATTAAGAACCATTGGAGAGGTGTGAAGGGGTGTTAATAAGTTCAGGAGCAAACCCTCCCCTGTGCTGGGCTCCAGATAATTCTTTGAATTTTAAGTGATAGTTGAGATGAGGCATTGAGGTTTCTGCAGAGAACCAGGGTTCCATTCAAGTCAATACCCTCAAAGACACCCAGCTTAGCAGAAAGCTAAATATGTGCAGGGCTGTGAATCTCCATCCCTTTTCTTTCTTGCAGAATTTCTGGAAAAGAGGAATGAGATATTTGTGTCCATCTAAGTTGATTGTCCACGATTATCAGTATAGCCACTTATTTGACACAACTGCTGCTGGAGCAGCATGGAGTCAACTGTAAAACTACTGAGTCAGACGTAGAAGCATACTAAATGCTTTAAGAAGAACATTGCTGTAAAAATTATCACCACCTAAGCTGTATAACGGAGCAACTGTTTTCATTTTCCTTAAAAGAAACATGTTCTCACCTTGGCCACATGTTCTCTTGTTTTCAATAATATGACAGAAGAACTGCATTAAGGATATGTAGATTCTGGGATATTTGCTTGTTTCCTTTGAAGTGCTAAGGCTGGAAACCTCGTTTATCTAAACATGTGCTATGCTGTCCTACTCATTCACACTCCCAGCCCAGAATACATAGTTGTTACTTATTAAACAATAAAGACATTTTAAGAATGTAATATAATGTGATGAAAGCACCTGTTATAGATTATGTGTTAAAATAATTTTTAGAGATGTTCTCATGTATTTCTAGGGCTTTTTCCCCCTCTTGAAAAGTTTGTAGACTGTAAGACTAGAATAAATTATCAAGCGTCTTGTGTCTGAACTCTATTGTATTCTATAGTGATTATTACCCAGGAATACGGTATGCTGTCAAAATGAAATTCATTTACCTTTCTTTTTCGGATGCAGGGCCACTTGAAAGGCATTTAAATACTATGGAAAGTTCTAGGCATCTTTTGGATACAGGGTTTCTCTCTTTTGGCTTCATTTCTAGAACTTAACTTGTCCTGAGTTAATGTTAGTGGTGGCCTTTCCAAGAACCAGGTGCAGGATTTCATGCTTATTTAGTAAATGGTTCTAGAGGGGTATGTAAGAACTTCTGATAGAGGGACCATGCTTAACTCAGCTGCATCTAACCTCTGCTTCCTACCTTCCAATAAAAACCATCTTTGGAAAGCATTTCCATTTAACTTTTATGAAAGAGCAAAATAGAGACTTCTGCTACAGGACAGGCAGAAGCATCCAGTTCTACATCTGTGAAATGGACCTCTTATTTCTCCACCTAGCTCATCCTGAAGGGATTCCTCTGAGGTTTTGTTGTTGAGGGAGCCACTTTTCACGATTCTTGCTTGTGTTTGGAATTGCTGGAAAGTTGAGTCAGCATGCTCTGTGTTTTGATTTTTTTTTTAAAAAAATGCTATGCACACGTGGGAAAGGATGAATAAGGTCATTATTTTGGGAAGAATGATTTCACTTAAACTGAGGCAGACACACCATCAGACCATTTCCCGGGTTCTAAAAGAGGTTCAAGAATCACACCATGCAAACAGCTGGCTGTCTTGTCTCTGTCCATTACTTTGATACCAGCACAGATTTATGTACATGCTTTCAGCCTGGTTACTTAGGTTCTACCTTCTGTACTTAGTCCTTAAAGTATCAGAACTACTAATACAGGGTTCTTAAAATCCTAGAGCTAGCAAAGTCAACAGCAACTTTCTGCCCTGTCATATTTAATTAAATGTCTGCACTTAGACATATTTACTGAACTTCTGAGTGTCTATGTTTCTTCCCCTGGGAAATAGCATCAAGATAGCTTAGCTGTGACATGATTACCAACAATACCTTTAACGGAAAGGAAAGGCTGTTCTTCCTGTTTTGTAAATAGCTGTTTAATAAGCATGGATTGTGTTGCAACTATGGGTCAGGATTCTGCGTATACATGGAGCGTTGTTTCAGCAAAAGATAGTTATTATATAATAATATTGGTGACAATGTCCAGCTTGAGCAAATTGCACTGTGGAAATGGGAATACCCTGTCCATTCTAGTTCATTTTTTTTCTTCATGGAAATCAGGAGGATATGAAACCCCTACATGATTTTCTATATACTAGGTGAAGCTCATGTGTTTGCTTTTTGCTTGTTCTCTTTGGTGACATTTAAGTTGCTAATTAAAGCACTGATAAAAAATTTATCTGGATGCATTCTCTATAAGAAGAACATAGGGAGCCTCACACATGCCATCAGGAGGAATCTCCCCTTTTTCCCTTTCATACAATTCTAACAGGAACAGGGTCACTTTTCTTATGTCTTTTTTTTTTGTTGTTGTTATTTATTGTTTGTTTGTTTGCTTGCTTGCTTTATCTAGTCATAGTTTCTCCATAGCCCTAGCTGCCCTGGTAGCTGAGGCTGGCCTTGAACTCAGAGACCCACCTGCCTCTGTCTCCAAAGTGCTGGGATCAAAAGTCACCTTTCTTAGCTTTTACTGGGGATGGGGAGGAGTGGCACTCACTCTGTATCCTGGTCTAGTCTCAAATTTGTGACCCCCTCCCCAGTCCTCAATTTCTGGAGAGTTGAAATTACAACTGTATGCTATCACACCAGATCCTTTTTAGCTTCATTCTTGTTTTCTTATTCTTGATTTGCTTATTCACAGCTACTGGAACAAAAAGATGAGCCAGAGGGAACACATTGGCAGGTCTGTTTGCCTAAGAGCACCATGTGACTTAGGAAGCACAGAAGCTTCTCCCCACACTGAACTTTGACCCTCACAAGAATGTTCCCAAAAGGCCATCAGGACACTACAGATAGCCTTGCATACTCTTCTCAGTGTTTACTGCAGCTAAACAGAGGAATGAGCAAAACAAGGCTGACTTATAGAGAAGTGGTGGTGGTCCTGCCCCAGGTGGGTGCTGTGCTATATGCAAATGTAGACAACTGGAGGATTGTACACAACAGATCATGAGTCATGAGAATTCTCAATGGAAGGGTCTTAAAATAAAAGTGTTGATTTGACCACCCTGCAGAACTGAAGTTATCCAAGTTATTTAATCTCCCCCAGAGTTACCAAATCTTTCTTATGGGGAATAAACTGTGTGTGTGTGTGTGTGTGTGTGTGTGTGTGTGTGTGTGTGACTCATTATTAGAAATCTTTATCATAAGACCCAAGGAATGACGTGAGATAGGAGATCTCTTCAATGACCAGGAAGTATCTACCAACTCAAGAGCAATTTTGTGATAAAAGGTGGCTGGTTTCCCTTACCTTGGGGGCCTTCCTTTGTTGGTCTGACAATGTTGGGAGTTAATCCATTCTTCTCAGAAAGATGAATAGGACAAGGATAGAAAAACTCCTGGAAGACTATCTTGGGAGGGCAGGGCAGGTTGACCAAAAAGCTCCTGAACCCAGCAGGACTTACCAAAACCCAGGCCACACTCAACATCTATTGATTAGTCAGGGACTAAGGATGCCACACCTATGATGATGTTTTTCTACACTGCAAATGTGGAGAGACTTTTTCTGTTCCTTATTCCCAGGTGAAGGACATACAGAGAATGAAACACAACCTGCCTAAAGCAAAACGCAACAACCTCAGCGTGGAGCCTGTCACCTCCCCTTCCCTTATGAAGGTCTTTGCAAGCTGGGGGGGCGGGGAGGTTATATGTGCGAATTTTCAGAGTGCTTTGTTTCTGTGGAGAGGATTCCAGAGGCCCTTGAAGTCCTCTCAGCCTTAAATCCACAGGAGAAGTCTCCCCACCCCCCACCTCCCTGCATCCGCCTTGGGGAGGTTTGGTTGGAAGAAAACTGACCCTGAGTGCACCCTGGGCAAACTAGGGTTAGAGACCTGATATGGTCTGCAGGGTACTTATTAACCACCGTTCATTTGCAGGATCGATACTTCTGGCAAAGGAGTCAACACTGAAGATATACACGCTGTCCAACTCTTTCCTTGACACAACAATTTATTTAATAAATGCATCTCCTGAAGAAGAAGGCACCAGGCACTGTGTCTTTTATCTGCAGGATATGCAAAGCGCATTTATTCAGTTTTTATCTCTGGAATTGTATGCTGATCCCATACATATAGATTGATTTTGTCCAGGTAGATAATGAAAAGTCAAGTGGAAAATTACACAATGGCACTCACGATCCCCGTCTTATATCGGTATATAAATTGGTTTATTATTTCATTCTATTAAAGGGGCTCCCCTCCTCAGGAAAACTTGAAAGCGCACCATATTGTCTGCCTCTCTGGATTTTCTTGTGAGAAGGAGGTTGAAAGGAGAGGGAGGGCAAGATGATTTCCATTTTTTCCATTCTTTTGGTTAATTGTACCTGATAAGTAAGCAGCACCTGAGGGTGTCCTGGGGACTGTCTGCTTCCCACAGCCCACTTCAGAGTCAAGTCAGGGGCTTCTGTGATTTAGACCATTACGGATGAAAATAAATTTGCCCCCCCCCACAAGCATCCTGCTACAGAGGTGTATATTTTTACCAAAGGCAATTTATAATTTTGTCCTGGTGACTGAAAGTGGTAACTCCCCTTGGAGTGTGGGGAGGCCAGGGGTGAGAGGGTGACAGCAGGAGGAGGCCACCACCCAGGGACAGCTCTGAGCTGGAACCCTGGAGGAAATGTTATTAATAAACATCTTCTGGACATTTGGCAGCCCGTGGAGCTTGCTCCAGCTTAAAGCAATTAATTCAGGACACCGACATCAACTCTCCAGGTCTTTGACAGCTTGGAGCCGAAATAAAAATGCTAGTTCTCCGGGGAAGAGGGGAGGAGGGCCCGCTCTTTGCTGGACTGTTTGCTTATGGGCCCAGCGAGCAACCTTCCCTGCAGAATGAAATGCAAGGTCGCACACAACGAACCGGCAGAGAATAGAAGATGGGAACGAACAGTTTGAACTATTTGCTCAGCAGAAGGGCACCACAATGCTGGGGTAGTGGCTTTCCCATGCATCCACTGTCCCTTCTTTGGGATCTTTTGTTGTCCCTGTCTCCTTTGGCCAGATAAGAACACAGCTGCAGCCTTGCAGCTAAGTAAGGCTTCACTTATCCCCTTAAATCTCGGAGTGTCTTTACTGTACCAGGCATAGATCAGCTCTTTCTTTTTTTGACCAGGGGACTGGGAGGGAGGGAATGAAGAATTGAGGGGGAGGGGACAGAGAGAGGACTCTCACGTTGCTGATGTCTGGTTCATGCCTTTCTTTCTCTCCTTTTTAAATCCAAGCTGGGATAAGATGTGATCTTTGTGGGCCAGTTTTATTGAAGGGTCAGTGTTTTGTGCCAAAAATACTGCCTACTTGGGGAGGTTGCTTGTGTATGCTGTGTAGCCAAGGCTAGTTTTGAAATGGTTTTAAACCATTTTTTGATTCCTTCAGCAGCTAAAAAGAGGGTAGAATTTGGGGAAGTCGATTTTAAAAATTGTTCAATTACAATTCAGTTTCTGAAAATCATTTTGGGTTCTTCTTCTTTCTTCTTCTTCTTCATTTGTTCCAAACTATATAATGATAACTATCACATAAAGAAGAGGATGACCTAGGGATGGGACATAAATGTGCTTTTGTATTTGCTGTAAATTGCACTTACAATCAGAGTCAATTCTACCTAAAGCATCAGTAACATGTTCTCCCACATTCATCCTTCAAAAATGAAATCTTGTGGGGCTGAAAAGATTGCTCAGTAGTTAAGAGTACTGGCTGCTCTTCAGAGGACCCGTGTTCAATTCCCAGCACCCACGTGGTAGTTCACAACTGCCTGTAACTCCAGTTCCAGGGTATCTGGCACCCTCATACAGACATATATGCAAGCAAAACACCAATGCTAAAATAAGAATAAAGCTTTAGTTTATATGCATGTTGATTTTCCTGCAGTTAATTCAAAGTCAAATCTGTCTGAGTTTTTGTATGGCTGCATGGTGTGTTCTGACTCGGTGGGCTTTGCTGCTAGTGGGCTTTGCTGCTAGTTGGCTTTGGAAGTGCGCCCCCATGTTTGTTTCTATTATAATAAGGTTGATTTAGTATGAATGGTTTTATACAGTGAAAAGGCAAAAGTGTTTAACACCAGAGAGCATGGTTTAGTACGACTGCTTTAAACATTCATTGCTAGAACCTACCTGAAGCAAGTTTTGGTGTTTAGAAGGCGTGAATGTCTGTGTCTGTTTTCCCCACTGACAAAGCTAGTGGGGAAAAACCTCTTCCGTATATTTTTCCTGCTGGGTGGTCAGAGGGAAAGGCCAGGAAGGCAAAGGCCTCCTATTGAGACACTCCTCCGTCAGAGGCATAAGAGGCGACCTCTCATAGTGTTTCTGGGGCACCTGTTCCTCTCTACTCACTGTGGGTGTGAGACGTGAGCCGGCAGTGCTCTCCTGCAGGGAAGCTGCCACCTACAGCATGGCCACTCACAGGGCCTCTAAAATGCTCACAGACTGCTATTCTTCGTGACTGGGAAGTGATTTTGATGCCAGTGAGTATTATGTTTTCCGTGTGTGGTATGTGTGTATGCGTGTGTTTCAGGGAGAAAGGAATACCTAGATATTTGCATATGTTTGATGACATCGTGGAAAGACCAGAATAAAGGATCCTATCAAAAATGTCATCTTTTGCTATGAATTTCTATCCACATATAAGAATGAGTAATAACCTTAAAAATAGGGATTGATCATTAAGTCCTGTTCCAGTTCTTCTGCTTTTTTGTTCTTGTAAGCAGACATTTAAAATTTTTGTATTCAGTGCCCACTTTCATTATATCCCATAATAAAGGTCATGTTTTTGTTTTTTTTTCTCCCAATTATATGCTTAGGCTATATGTGTTATGTCTCCTCATGAACTGAGGCTGTAGCTACGAATATTATCAGTCTGGATAATTATATTAATTTTTCTTTATCTTTGACCCAGAGAATTTTTTCCCTCAGAGTGTCATCTTAAGATGTATCTAAAAATCCCGGTGGATAATTTGAAGAACACATAGGTATCCCTTTCATCTAAAAAGATTTCTTTCTCCCGAGCCCATGACTTTCCACACAGGGATACCGGGTTTTTATTTCTAATTTCTGGATGGGTGCAAAGTTGCACGCATTGAGGGGCCCCTGAGGGAGGAGCATCGCCAAGGGCGAGGGCAAACTCACAAATAATGAATCGAGTTTGAAGACTGGTCAAATGCAAGGAACAAGTGATACTGATCGTATATGTAAGGGGCCTGGACATCACACCAGCTGCCATGGGGTTTGATTAATGAGGCATTAAGGAGATCGAGTGACACTTACAGCTAGTTACTTATGGTGCTAATTTCAAAACACTTTGTGATAGACAAAGAGACTCTGCTCATAATGCAAAGTAATTTGTCGTGTGTTCCTGGCGAATGCATTTAGTGAAGCAAATATAGTTATGCAGAATTTAAATTAAGGTTGACACTAATGTAAACAGAGCCCAAGAACCACTGTCCAATAATTTGATGAGGACACAGGTTTTAATCAAGCCTCTTCCACTAAAATAGCAATTTAAATCCCCATCGTTTAAACTGGATAAAATGCTTAAGCTGGGAAAGCTGAGGATCGGGGTGGGGAGGGCGATAAAATTTACCGGGAAAAATTTTTAAACAGAAACACAATGTCTCTTGGGGAAATTGTGACTCCACACTGACCCGACCAAAGGAGATGCCCATCCTTTTAAATAGCAGGTTGATTTCAAAGCCAGAATCTGTGTGTTTGATCACATTTTAGCTCAGAGTGTTTCCTCTGTTGTGAAGCTAGGATCTGATTATATCCTAGTAGAACTATCTCTGAGTAAAAATGCTCCTGAAATCAAGAAGAGCTAGTTGAGACTCAGTGGAGGTTCCAAAGCATTTGCTATTTTATTAGGAGGAGAATGTATATTCCCCACCCGGTTCTTATTTGAACTGAAAAATTCACTGTTGACTGGGAGAGTGGGGGAGGGGCAGGCTTACCCAGCCCAGGCAGCCTTCCTGAGAGGTTGGCTTTTCCGGGGTACCCTCACTCACACATGGCTTTGTCTGGAGTTGCCAATTTATCTTGGAGTCAATGGGGGAGGGTGGGGGTCAACCGACATTAACATTAATTAAAATACCAGCAGCCTGGGGTTGGGGCCCAAGAGGTTTTGTATATGGGAAACAAAACCAAACAAAATAATTTATTCTGTTACTGCTCTTGCAAGGAAAAACAAGTAACAGTTTGGCAACATTTCTAAGGCCTCTGGACTTGACTGCTGGCTGAAGAGTGGGAGGTAGGAGGTCTGCAATTCTCCAAATCACATTCACAATGCATCTTCCTGGGAAAAGAATTTCTACACTGAAGTGTGTGTCTATGCTTGGAAGAAGGGACCAAACATTGTTTTGGAGAGGACAAGAGGTTCCAATGTAGAGTATTCTGAAAAGGCTGCTAGCATTCTAGTTCATGGTCACCCACCTTCAAGTCAGTAGGGGACATTTGATGGTGAAGGGGGTACTGAGGATTTAGGTGAGCCAGGCAGAATAGATCCCAGGAAGATGCAGTCACAGTCATGCAGCAGGTCCAGGTGGCTCCAACTCCTAGGCTGTGTCCTCTTATGTATTTATTTACTTTTATTTTATGTGCATTGGTGTTTTGCCTGCAGGTAACTCTGCATGAGAGTGTCTGATCTTGGAGTTACAGACAGTCGTTAGCTGTCATGTAGGTGCAGGGATTTGAACCCAGGTCTCCTGGAACAGCACTTAGTACCCTTAACCTCTGAGCCATCTCTCCAGCCCATGGGCTGTGTCTTCTTTCATGTAACCCCGCAGAGGGTGTCAAAATGTGATGCTATGGCGGGGCATCCCAAACCCCCTCCCTGTGAAAATGTAAAAGAAGAAAAGAGTTCTTTGGTGATATCTCTATGATGTTAGAGAAAATGTACTGAGCTCCAGGCCTGTGTTCATCACAGCTTTGTGGAGAACAGTTCTGAGTAGGGTGGGTACTCACAGTGTTTTCTGATGCTAGAGAACTCTTTGGCCTTGGAACACTGGGCCTTACAGTCAGATGGAAGAGGGAAACACAAATTTTGGGATCACTCTAGAGGTGTCTAGGAAGACAGAATTCTGAGAACAGGCAACCTTCAACTCTGGTCTAGGATAGGAGTAGAGGAACCACATTTGGTCACATTTGGAATACTGGGGCATCTTCCAGAATGATGGGTATGTATGATTATAGAAATCTGTTAGGTAATGGATGATTCTGAGGGTTTCTTACATAGAAACTTGCAAACCTCCTTCCTTCCTAGGAGAAGTATCTCACTTTCTTGAGCTGATGCACAGACACCAAACTTATTTGAGCTTATAAGCTTGTCGTTCCTCCTGCTCCTAATGTCCCTGAGAAACTTGGAACTTCCAGTTCCTCTCCTGGCCTGTCCATCCCCTTCTCCCCTCAACGATGAAGCAAAGAAATTCCTATTGAGGAACTCAGCATGCTTCTTAGTGTGTTCTGGACATGACTGATGCTGACAGGTCAGACTCACTTCTTGTTAAAGAAACCTAGGTGGACCTTTAGAGCTTGTTTGGAGGTTTTAACAAGGGATCACAGCTACTCATACCCTTGACTGGAAGACCAGTCCTCCACTATTCAGGGAAGAAGGATCTCCATGACACAGGGTAACAATAGGATATCCAAAAGGAATTCTAGTGAGGACCCAGTATTGATAGCGTAGCAGAAGCCAGAGGCTTCAAACAAGATCAATGACACATTGCAATGAACATTTGCAAGTAAAGGTATACTGACTAAAGTATATACTGTGCAACTCACTGTGACACACTACAGCTTCTATGACAAGACTTTCTGTTGTTTTTGTCTTCTTAATTTAATTTAATTTATTTTGGGGGGCATTGAATCGGCAGAGGGTGGTAATGAAGGGACAGGGTAATGAGTGGAATTGAGGTGCATGATGTTAAATCCACAAAGAATCCATAAAAAGTTTAAAAGGAAAGCAAGATAGAAAGATGATCGATAGATAAAAAGAAAGAAAGAAGCAAAGGAAGAAGAGAAAAGAAACCTAGGTAGAACATGATGCAAGTAGCCAACACTTGGAGTCAACCAAAACAGCTTTAGCTCTTTTGACAGCCAAATGAGAAAAACACAGAACTGTTTCTCCTCTCCTACCTCTGGATTCAGAATCACACTAAAATACTGACATCAATCAAGGTGCTATAGGAGTTTATAGCTATCTGAAGAATTTGTCTCAAGTGGGGTTTAAGGGCCATCAGGAGCAGGTGTGAGACCCTAGTCTGCACACCTGCTGCTTTCAGTGCAGGGTGCCTTACTCTCTTCTTTTTGGGCTCTGCATTAAAAATGTCCACTTTTCAGTCATGATGTTGATTTTCTTAAGTTACAGGGTCTTTTGAGCCTGTAGCTCTGGGCCTATGGATTCCCACAGAGATTCTCTAAAACAGGACACAGAGGACTCAATTCTTCATGCTAACTTTAAAGCCCTCTCTTTTAATAGAACATACTTAGCCTTCTCATGCCAGACCACAAGACCCTCCTAGACAGTTCCCTCAGCCTGTAGTAAGTGATTAGATAGGACCTGGTATTGTCTGAGACCAGTTCTTGATGGGGCCAACTTCCTGCCCATTCATTCCAGTTGAGTCTTAGCACTTTGTGCTCAAGTAGGCTGGACTTTATCAGATGCCAGCATTGGAGGTGGGAGTCAAGGGTATTATGGGGAGGCTGGGAATGGTGAGATGCTAGCTTCTTGATTATTGGAAGAAAGCCCACTGAGGTCCAGGAACAGATATTGGTAATTAGTGGCAGGACCTGGGCAGTGGGTGTGGGTAGGGGTAGAGATTCTCTTGGAATCCTGAGCAGAAATGCTGAGGCTTAGATCTTTTTCTTTTGTTTTTCTGGCTATCATTTTGGGTGCTGGTTGCCCATTTCCTGTAGTATTTCTGTGTTTAACCATCTCTTTGTCTCTTGCCCTCTTCCTCCTTCTAGGGCCTAGTTGAGGGATCTGGGAGAGTTACCAGGCCACTAGAATGCAATTTGCTAGATCACTGTCTACTTCATTGTATGGAATTGTCCTTCTATGTGGCATACTGAACACATCCTTACTCCCAGAGTATTGATAGAATAATTCATTTTGCAGAGATGGATGCATCTGGTCATGATTCTGATGACTAAGGTACTAGCCTGTCCTTCATAAAGGTGATTGACCCTCTTCTCTGTTCTTTGGGGCTTCTCCAGGTCATGGGTGATCATATGGGATGGTAAACATGTTCCAGGAAGGGCATAGTGGTGTGGGAAAAATTATGATATCTTAGGAACATTTCCAGAAGTTTCTGATCACATTGGATGTGTGTAAAGTCAATACATTTCCAGGTGGCTATCCACTGGACTAAGTAAAAAAGACATGACTTGTGACCACAAGGAACCTCCAATTTACACTTTTAGATTACGTTAAAGTCTGTGGGTCAACCAATGTATTGGTTATATCATATTGGCTTTC